CTTCTTCCTTGGGTGCTATCTTCAAGTCTCCTCCACATCTCTGGCTTTCTGTCTTGCACTCCCTCTCCACTGCCTCCCTGAAGTGTAGGCTCTTTGCTTTTCCTGGGCGCCCACCGCAGGCATGCCCTCTGTGCTGTAACTGGTCATCTAGCCACTGTAACAGCTTCAATCCAGGCACACTCTGGTCCATTTCCCTCACCTTAGGAACCCTCCTTTCCCTCCCTCCCAGCTCCAGGCTCCATCCCTCTCTGACATCTCCCACCTCTACTGCCATTCACACAGCCTTGCCTCTTTTTAGCTTTGGATTGATACCTAAGACTTGCATTGATTGATCTCTTCCATGAACGAAGGATTGATTAAAGTCCTCAGGTCAAATGTATTCTGTAACTTGTCATCTTATCAGTCAAATGAAACTACCTCCCCCCTCTTGTGTTATGGGGCTCTGTTACTGTTTCAGTGGAATAAGTGTGCTTTTGGACACAAAGAGAGAGATTTTTTTTCGTGTCCCACATCTATCAGGAATAACCGATTGTTGACTTCCTACATTTTGATGAATGCTTCTTGAAGATTTAATTTGAATTTAGCAATGGTTTTATTCTATGTGTGATCATATTTTTCTAGCTTCTTCAGTGATCCATTCTGTATACAGTGGGTCCTTAGTTACTTTGTGTGACTTCATAGTGGGTTAAGCGAGGGCTCCATAACACAGCGCTGGATGCAGGGACTCAGTGACGAGGGAGGTGTGCCAAGTTTTCCTTACTTTTGGGTCAGAAGTGGTTTCCAAAGCCTCATGCCCTGAATCAAACTCTGAGACCATCTCATCGCCATACACTTGTCACCTTATTACCTCTGAAACCAGCCTCTGTGACCCAAGAAATGATCTTGGCTTAAAGGTGCGTCTCACCCGGCCTGCCAGGAGCAGTGTCGTCACCTCCGTCAGTTTCTCAGTTGTTCAAGATAAAACTTATTCTCATAGGTACCAGTAATTATGTCTTACTGGCCAGGAAACTCCTGACGTTGAAACGGTCCATTGAAATTTTATATATATATATATATATATACATATATATATATATATATATAAAGATCACACATAAATTAAGGCAAGGTGACAGTGAGACTAATGGCAATTTTGCAAAATGACGTATTTGAAATTTTGACTATTTTCCAAGTTTGCTTTCCTCTGTGCCTCAAATCAAAAGATCATTTGAATTGCTGCTGAAAATATGAATTTTCTACCTTTGAATTTACATGTCACAAAGTCTTTCTGTTCTTTCTGACTCTTGTTTTAGGCACAAAAATACCAAAAATATTGTGAAAAAGAACATGAAAATGAATTTATGTACGTTCATGTATGACTGAAGCAGTGTGCTGTACACCAAAGTTGCCACAACAGTGCAAACCTACTGTACATCAATAAAAAAGTATATTCAAATTACCAAAAAAACTGGAATATTTACTGGGTTTTATAGTTTAAACCTATGAATAAAAACTAAAATTTCTTGCAGATATGATGGACATTATTCAGTTAATACATAAAATCTATTTAATCGAATTTCATCATGAATATACCTCCTGGGCTTGTGGTTCTTTGTGCTATTTCCCATCTAAAATAATTAATGATTCAATCTTCTATGAGCAAATTCCAATAATCTATGTTCGATGCAAAACAAATGAGCTTTTAGTAGGATATACTTTTATTTTAAATGAAAAAGTCCAGAGAAATTTTTTTCTGATTCATCTCATTAAGAGATGCTGCTTCAGTTTAAAAAATTAGGTTTCACGTTTAATTATTATTTATCTTATTTTCATACGTTGGTATTTGTTTTTAACTTCATACCAACAGTCAGTGTACTGATAAGTCAGTCCACAAGAGACCTTTGAAACATTTAGAGAAATATGATCATGGGAATTAAAAAAAAATCATACTGTAAATTTCTGAACAATTTCATTGGAAAGAAGTATGGTAAAGTTATATTTTTAAATATGAAAATACTCATTCTAATGCCATTCTTAGGAGAAAGGAGGTGAAAATATATTTCCCATACAGCACGATTTCAAATGAAATATTTGAACATTGAATGGTTTATTCATGTTTTTGAAGATGGGTGACAGTGGGTATCATAGAGGTAGACTCCACTGGGTGGATTTAAAAGCGTGACGTAAGAGCTTTATTTTAAAATTGCACCACACATATTAGGACATGAATTATATCCTTTGTAACTACTTCCATTATGGATGAAACGTTAGCTGTCAACTGAAAAATATGGGAGGTTTGAAGGGGAAGTTCTGAGTTGTTCTTGAGTAAAGGGTTTGGCCATCACTGTTGCAGGGTCCAGATCCGGACATGGTGTTGCTTTGCGCTACCAGCTGTTCCCCTTTCTGGCCACACAACTAGGGACACCGTGTGGCAGTGATTGCAGCAGCAGGTCAGCAGTACAAGACCTTCTGGGGGACAAAAGGGAATTCTGGTGTTTCCTCTTTAAACAAGCAGAAGGCTGATGACTGTCCTCTTCGTCCCAACTTGGGAAACACCCTGCGATTCTTAATGTTATTGAGTGGCGGGATCCCGGGAGAGAGAATGATGTTTCATAGACAGGATGGTGGATAGATTATATTTCATGTGATGATGAAAAGGAACGTGGTCTTTTTTTTCTTCACTAAAAAAATCATGGTTTCTTCCGCAAAAGAAAAGCCCTGGGCTGAAAGGATTCACTGGTGAATTCCACCAGATATTTTAGAAAATTAACACCACTGCTTCTCATACTCTACCGATAAATTGAAGAGGAGGGGGCATTTCCCCACTTATTCTTTGAGGGCAACACTACTTTGAAATCAAAGCTAGACAGACAGTAGAAAAAAGAAAACTCCAAAGAAGTATCTTTTATAAATACAAATCAAAAACCTAAATGTAAGAGCTAAAACTATAACATTCTTAGAGGAATGCATGATAGAAAAATATGACATAGGATTTCGCATTGATTCCTTTGATATATCAACCAGACACAGGGAACAAAGAGAAAATGTATAACTTAGACATCATCAACATTTACAATTGTTATGCATCATAAGGGACTGTCTAGAGAGTGTAAAACAGCCGACAGAACA